ATTTCACACAGTCCTCGAGTGAATCAGCTCTCTCTTCATAATGTGACTGTTTAAGTATTTCAGTATGGAGGTATACCTGTGGGATTTAGTTATAAACTCAAACATCTCTGTCAACAACCACCCTGCTCCATCTCCCTCTCTGCTGGTTTCTTGCAACGAAACAGAAGCTGACTCTGCTCTTAGAGTTTACTCAGTCTCGGGGTCTGAAATGACAAGCTGGCAACTAGTGCGCCTTCCTCAGATCCACTTCAGCTCTTTCCTCGTTTCCATTTCATGTGCATCAGTTGCAGTACGCAGGTAGCTGACTGTATATTACTCATCATAAATAGGGCATGTGTCTGAGCGTGATCTCACAGCCTCCAGCTGGTTTAGGAGCCGTTACCTCGCAGGGCCGTTGGGCTTTGGAGGTGCTGTTTGGGTTTCGGGGAGGAGCGAGAGGGGGTTGAGTATCTCGGGAGTTGAGCTGCTGGAAAACAGGGACATTTCAATACGGGGGTCAGACTTGATTCTGCTGGAGATTCACAGCATGACAAGAGAGAAAGATGGGCTCTGAAAGCCAAACAAGCCAATCTGAGGCCACTAGAGGGCTCCACAGCCAAACATGAATAAGCAGCTTCATTCAGGTGGAGGATCACCACTGTCAGCTTTGACAGACAATCCACTAGTGTCAGCAACCCAGAGAAACAGAGGCTGGTGTGTGTTACACATGCTTTATAGTAGACACGTTTACATGGACAACAATATTCTGATATTAACCCTATTATAACAATAGTCTGACTAAGACACTGTAATGTAAACAGTATTTTCTGATTAGCTGAATAAGGTCAAACATAGAATAAACAATAATCAAAGTAAGATATGTGGAGTATTCTGACCTTAGTCGACATGTTAATGTCTTAATCACATTATAACATCCAATTGGTGATTTCACAGCATTTTGCAACAGTTACCAATCTCTTGATGACAAGTCTTGGGTATGAATGTAAACAAATAGGACACATTGTTGACATGTATTGGACTATGATCTGTAACATGTGAACAGGAATATGCATAAAATATGTAAATATGCAACTCATGTAAACATCATAATCAAAATAATGTCTTAAAGTCAATAGTTGGAATACACCTGTCCATGTAAACGTTCTCAGAGAGAAGTCAGCGAGAGAGGCAGGAATGTATGTGTCTCACATGCCCAGTACAGCCAGAGGTCAGATAGAATCAACACAACTATCCTGAGGGGAAACCTCAGCTGTTACACTTTTTAAAACTTCCATTAACAAATAAAGACAGCTGAAAATGGAATACGTGCTCTAATGTATAAAAGGCTCAGGCCACATGAACCCAGTGTCCCTGAGAAGTCAGATTGAGACAGGATTAAGGCAGTGACTACATGTTTGACCAGCTGACGCATGCCCTTTGACCCCAGCCCTCTCTGCCTATAGTTACAGAGAGATAAGCATTTCTGGATTAAAGAAAAATCCATTACCTTTATCTGCCATTACAGGATTAAATCAGATGGATAGTCTTAACTCACAGAGGTGGGATGCTAAGCTCTTTAAAAGACATAAAACCCTTATGGACAAAATGTAAAAGAACATTAGTGTCACTGATACCAGGAGTTGCTTCGGGGCTCTCAGTGTGACGCCATGCACTAGTTCTGTAGGAGGAGGGAGATTCTTTAGAGTGAGAGTTTTTGCTGGGAGTATAAGAGGAAGAATGTGTGTCAATAAAAGATTTTAGAGCTAAAAATGATCAGAGACAAAGAGGTTTCCCAAAAACCAAAGCCATAGCACAACAAAGCAGCACAGGCCTGATGCTGTAGGAGGAGCCAGAGAGAGGAAGAGAAGTCACACAAACAATGACTAACAAGAGATTACACAGCCTGTTATGTTGCTGAGTGATCAGTTTACTGTGAGAGCAAAACAAACATTATGTCATTATTATGACTTAGTCATATGAATAATCAATCTGATCATCTGAGTCTGTGATTACTGTAGCAACAGATGTGTTCATAGCTTTAGAAAGTTTTGTGTTTGTAGGTGAATTATAATATAAGGCATGTTGTTTGTGTGTCACAATACTCACTAGCAGACTGGTTCTGGTGACGAGGAGAGCCTCCATTTGGCACTTGCAGGTTGGACTCGCAGCTGCGGCTGTTCTTGACAGGCTCTTGGGCCTGGGCCTGGGTCGCTGCTGAGGAGCGTGTGAGGTTGGGGAGACTGCGACGCAGCTTTTCTGCAACGGCAACACAGAAGAGAATTAGCTCATAGTGCCCAGAATCGCACAGTAAACCACTGATGTCCAGCACTTAGGCCATCTCTGCTGTCTACCTTCATTCTTCACCACGTTGGTCGGCAGGTCGTGACCCTGCAGTGAGTGGCGAGGCTGCTGCAGGCGGCTGATGATGGGCTGAGGCGAGCCGCGGCTGTGGCTGTACTCAATAGAACGAGCAGGGGAGCGTGAGCGAGGCGAATTCCTGGGGGAGGCGCGTGGAGAGTGTCTGGGGGAGGGGCTGAAGCGGTTGGAGGGCAGGTGGAAGGCCGGGTGCACCGCCTCCTCCTCGTCCTCCAGACTGTGTGCATCTAACTCCTGGTCACTGAAGGTGCTGCGCCGTAGCGAGTGGCAGGAAGAACCCGAGCTTCGTCTGGATGCTGTTGCGGCATAGTCCTGTCTCAAACCTGACGGCAGACAGTTGTATTGTAAAAATGTGGTCTGAATACAGAAAACTGGACAAAACTACTGTACACAAGTGCTACAGTTACATACTCTCCTCCTGCATGCGAGCCAGTATCTGCACATCAGTGACGTCGTTGAGTTTGTATGTATTTGAGGAGCCCACAGAGTCCTCGTCCATTTCTGATGTGCTCAGCTCACTGTCCACAGACGACTGTGGACTAATTGCTGGAGGATTCCTCTCGGCCGCTGCATTTCGCTGGTGTGCTGTGGAGGAAACAATTCATTTAGTGACATGTATTCAATAACACTAGACTACAGATCTTCTGTAGTAGTTACTGAACTATTGAGAGTCTCATACCTGCATTCCCAGGAATGAGTTGCTGTCTGACTATGGGCACCCTGCTGGGGGTTGAGGAGGGGGAGTTGAAGCCACTGCTGTAAGGGCTGTTGGCTGCATTTGTGCTATACGGGCTTCCATAGCCCTGCTGGTTGTAGGGGCTTCCATACAGGCTTCTGCGCTTGTTGGCTGTAGAGTCACAAACAGAGCTCAAAGGTTCAGTCATTTATTAACATCTAATGGTGAAGTTGCAAGTTGCAGCTGAATACCCCTCACCTCACCCTCCCCTTCCAAACATGACAGAGAACCTGTGGTAGCTTCAGTTGTCATAAAAACTCAAAAAGTGTTCAGTTTGTCCAGTTTGGGCGACAGTAAAAAACATGGCGCCTTCCATAGAGTAAACCTGCTCCTGATGTAAATATAAAGTATTTAAATATAAATCTAAGGTAAACAAAACCACAATTTAGTTGAAACACACTCAAGAAAACATCACTAGGATTATTTTATATTCAATTTCTGCCAACCTAAATCTTACACACACTGAACATTTAAACACGAGTCCCCACTACATGAGAAGATCGGGAGAGAACAAGTGTGCAAAGAGTTAGAACCACTGCACTGCTGAAAGACTCAGGCCCCCTTACATTTTAAGTTACAAAAACAATGTTTGTTTTCTCATTTCAAGTTCTATATATTTGGTGGTATTTCCATTTTGTTTTTATTCATAGTTATTTACAGTAAAGTTCATTAATATAAAGCTTTGATTACATTTCTTTGTCATAAGGTTTTGAGGAAGACATCTCAGGAATCATTACCAAATTTGAAAAAAATATATTTTTATTGGCTGATATGTTGGTATATAGTATATTGTTCTAAAAAGAGGAGACAGGAGATGTTTTTAAGAGACATGTTGCCACATTGGAATCTATGACTAATGGATTAGTTATTAAAAAATCAGTCGCATCTTTCCTTAAATAGGTCTTAGGATCATCTTCCCTTCATAAAAACTAATGACCAACAGTCCACCTTGTCAAAAACAATGAAAGATTATAAAATAACACAACTAATTATCTAAAAATGTCTTACTCAAACAGGAACAATTATGTTAGTAACTGATTAGTGTAATAATCAATTCAAAGTATGTAGCTTAAAAGATGTCAGCGAAAGAAGGGAGGTGAAATGAGTAAGTCAGGAAGCTGCGTTTGTGAGGAGGAACTGCCTGTGCAGCATGTTAACATACATTATCTATACTGCATTGATACACTGCAGCTCATTAAAGACCCAGACAAAGTGAATAGCTGCAGTATGTTAACATACTTCAACAGTTTACTACAACACCAGCAGTGTGTGCAGATATCGAACCCTTGATGAAAGCTCTACACTGTGCTGCCAGTCTGCTTGAGTTTCTTGGACCATACGCTGACTGTGAGACTAACAGAGAGTTCGTACAACATTAGCTGGGAGAAACGCTTAACAATGCACTCCATTCATTCTTTACACACAGTAAATGAGCGAACAATGCCATTCTCTATGAGATCCAGTGCAGCAGCAGTAAAAGGCTCCAGTCTATAGTCCTTGGTCTCGATCATAAGATCAGACCCGCACAGACAAGCCGCTGGTTACTGGGACAGTTTGCTGTTTCCGTGTGCACTCGTCTACCCATCCCTCGGTTTTCTCTCCTCTCTCTGACTGAATGTGTTTATATCTGAGTGGTGACTGGAAAGTGTCTTTTAAGATCAGCTACCTCCTCTTTCCACACTTCTCCCTTCACTGTCTCCTCCTCCTGCATTATTTAGGTAATAACATCATGACCACTCCGCACGCATCAGCTGCTGAGGAGTATTAACAACACTGCAACACTTTAGTAGAGTATCACTTTGTTTTCCATTTCATGACAACAGAACGAAACAGTTCACCTGCTGAAATTAACTATATTTGTCAAACTCAATATTAATTTGAAAAAGAAAGGTTCACACCTACAGAACGCATAATAACAGGAGAACAAACGTAGAGGCAATACAATTGTGCTTGAGCTTTTAAGCATATATGAAATTACTTAAAAATTAACAACTGTCAGTTCCATGATAGTCTTGTTTTATTACAGTGGGCTTATATCTATATTGTTTAGACAGAATAGTGTTAAATATATATAACTAAGACTCGCCCAATTGTATTGAAGTCCTTATACTGATACATCACATTTTAACATATTCAAGACTTTTTAAGACCAAACTTCAGATTCAAGTAAAGAGTTTTTAAGACCCTGCAGAAACACTGCGATTGTGGTGGTGGATCATAATCGTGATGGCAGCTGATCATGGACTATGATTACAACAATACTTAATATACAATATGCCTCCTCACATATTCTACCATTACTGGCAACAACTCCTCCATTTCAAATGTCATTGCTGCTCTCTTCAACTCTATCAGACACTTTCTTAATCATTAATACTTTAAACATTTGCACACCTTTCCATTATGCTTTGGTGAGCCTGATGAGACAAACTGTAATTTGTGAATATTGGCTATATTGATTGATTGTCCCTGTGTGTTCTTGTGGATAAAGAATATCTATTGTGCATTCATACCACTGACAAACATAATGACATTTCTGTGAGTGCTTTACAAGCATGAATTATCTCTCCGTGTGTTAGGAAAATCTTCCTCTAAACACACTCTGTACTGGCTGTTGGGTCACACTAATGAGTGTTGCTGCATGAACCCAGCTACGAGTCAGCATTTAACAGTTTGGAGATGTTTAGAAGACAGTGTGTCCTATCTCAGTCATCCTGTCACTAGAAAGACAGTCAATCTAAAGGGATCCGACTGCAGCACAGGGACCAACCAAAATAGAGTGTCCTCAAATCCTCATGTCCTGAAACAAAAAGAGAGGTTAGAAGAAGAGAGAAGAACTGCTGTCCCTACCCACCATGATGATGTCATTTCTATTTTCTCTGATATGAATGTGTATTAGAGGGCTTTTTTTCCATCTTGGCTTTTTTAGCCTGTGGAAACTTTAAGGCAGTTAAATGAGCCAGTACATAACTTCCTGATAGAAAATTCAAGCCTGTAGGGCTGAAATGTTGAAGAGAAAACTGAAGACAGGGCTTAGCATAGAGGTCTACTTGATATGAAAAACAAAATAAAAGATGGATTAAAAACAGCTGCTTTAAGCATATCACAGGAAAAGAGCAAACAGTGAAGCTTTTATGAATGAAAGAGATGAATAATGAGGAATTAAGCTGCAAGGAAGAGGTGAACTAACTGTAGAAATGAGGTGAAGGAGATGTCAACGCATTTTTTAGCAGAAATAGGGCAGGTCAGCTCAACAGTGAGGCACTATTTTAAAAAACTGTTTAATTGTTGAGGACAACACATTCTGGCTGAGCATTGTCTGAAATGAAAAAAGCAACTATCTCACAGCAGTCTCCTCCCCCGTGAGTTATATAACAGAGGCATGTCATCTGGGGATATGATTTTACCAGGGTGTGCATAGACAAAAGGCTCAGTCACTACTGACACTAACACTTAAGATCATGTTTAAAATACCAACACGCCTATAGGAGTGTGCACCTGTGGTGTAGCGTGGCACAGATGCAATGTTTAAACACACAACTTCATATATGTCACGTCTCATATTGAAGACGTCTTCACTTTTGTTTCCACAACTAAAGTTAAGATTTTTGCCTCTCTCTGCGACACAGACTCAACTAACGCCATGGCAACAAGGTTTCCGTGGTCCTGGGAGAGAGCTGGTGCGAAGGAGAGAGGCTGAGGAGCCGTGAGGGCGTGTCTGTGGTGAGTCTCCCAGTCACTGAGTCACTGACACTCTCAGAATGTGGAGCTTAGGATTTGCCAAAGTGTTTGTGTGCTGAAAAAGGATTTCAAGTTGTCACAAGAATCCTCTCCAATGCCTTGATTTTCACGCTTCATTAATTGAATTTAAGTTTAAACTACATGGTCAGTGAATCACACAAATACATACAGTTGTTATGCGTAACCATGGAGGTTATGTTTTCAACCCTGTCCATTTCTTTGTTCGTTGGTTTCTATTAGTTTGTTTTTCCACAAAACTTGGTTCATGGAAGAACTCATTACATTTTGTGGATCCTGATAAAGTTTTTCAAGGATCAATTTCCTAAAGAATAATTCATGGGTCTTGATGAAAATGAAAAATCAGACACATTGATTTCTGAGTGTGTGAAATTTGGCGCAACTTGATTAAATTTGAGGGGACAGTTGGGCCTCGGCTGAGGTATGCTCTACTTTTGTGTGTCTGTGGAAGTGATAACAACATCAAAGTCAAATGAGGAGAGAAGTGAAGGGAGTGGGGCGGGGCGGGTGGTATCAGTAAGGGAGGGAGATATTTTCAGGCCCTGTGGAGGATGACGTTATCCTCGCTCCACACCTTCAGTGATGATGTCACCATTTATGAGCATGATTCCTTAATCCTCACCCGAGTGGCTGGTTTATTGTAATGGTCAGTCGAAAGACAAACAGGGTGTGTAGGGCTACATGTTTTGTTCAGCAGTTGTGAAAAAGCACATACAGATCATCATGAAGGGGAAAGTATCAGAATTAGATCTTTGTTGTGTTGGTGGAAACTGACTAACAGATTTGTGATTTCAACAAAATTTGTTATTTAAAAGCTTCATGTACTTTTTTCCATTTTATTACCTTTGCCAAGGAGGTAATATGTTTTTATCTGCGTTTGCTTGTTTATCTGTCAGTAAGCAGGATAATATAAAAACTACTGAATGGATTTCCACAGAACTTGGAAGGAGGCTGTAAAGGTCACAAAAGAACCCATACAATTTTGGTGGGATTTAGGGGCATTTCCAAAGTTTTATCTCATTCTTTAACGTTGCAAGAATTTTTCAACATTTTCATTGATTTCTTAGAAAATAATTCATTGATCTTGAGATGAAATAAAGGAGGCAGGTTAGGGACAGATATTGTGCAGAGTGTGTGCAATTTGGTGCAAATCCAAATAAACATAATCTAGTGCACCATGAACCCAGGGCGCCGCCCTCCCTTGTGGAGTGTTTTATTTTTTTTAAATTAAAAAAATCTAACATTAACTATGATAAATTATTTAAGAATTCATGTGTTTACATTTTACAATAACGTGTGTTGTATAAAATATGAATAAATATGTGGGAAACGAGTGGTCGGGGCACACAGTCGATGGTTCAGGGGCGCTGGAAAAGTAGCAGAGACGAGTAGCCAATAAAGGACAGTTGCTGGGTAAGATACACGTATAGCAAAGTAAATTTGGCCAATTAACATCATCAAAAATAATGCCTGAAGGGCGATTCTGATAGAGCCCCAAGCCCAGTCCCTCAGTGTCGTGGTGGAGGAAATCAGACGGTACTAGTGACAATGACGGCCACAGGTTCACACAAAACAGCATCGCAGCCGCCAAGTTTGGTACAATCTCTTCTCCAAACTCCATTTGAGAGGAGAACTTTGGTTGAAACATTGCGAATAATGAAATTGCACCAGATTAACTTGATATTAAAATCAGCCAACAAGCCAGCGAAAAAGGTCAAATGTACACATGGGGATTTTCCCGTCACTGGTACAGCAGAAAGGCTTGGTTAGCAGGATGTATAGAGTATGAGTCACAAGATATCCAGCAGTATATGGCACCTGCTTTTATTTTGTCTTAATAGTGTTTAATACTCTACTTACTATCTGAGCACAAGGGCAACAACTGTTAATAATTTACATGATTTATCAATCAGCTGATAATTATTATTTTTGTAGATATTATTTTGATTTAGTTTTCTACATTTAGTTTTTTAAGTTTGTTTGTGCAGTATGCAGTATACTGTTAGCTTTCAGTTTTTGTGTAAAATGACTGACATGTTTATTATTGTTTATTGATTCAATAATTACCTACTTTTTCACAAAGAACTGGTATCCTGCAGTTTGTGTTAAATCGTAGTGGGATGGTTACTGAAAACTGTGTGTGGCACGGCACAGTCCCACCAAGAATATTTTTCACCAGCTGCCACTGTTGGTCTGTGAAACATGAGGGATGAAAAAGGCAGCGATACTTGGATCCATAAAGGGACCATAGTATTATTTCAAACGCCACTATAAACAAACCTTGTATAATACGGTGTCTGTGTGTCCAGGTGCAGTCCAGATTCTTGCACAACAGAGAAGCTCACATCTCCCCTGGTGAACAACCCCCTGCAGCCTATTGCTCAACATGATCTAACTGTCACATGGACATACCACTGTCAAAATGGAAGTGACCTCTCTCAGTTTAGCTGCAAGGATTTGAGCTGTATCCTCTTCACTGAGCAACCACCTGTAGTTAGTGGGAGTCAAAAGCTCAGAAAGCAGACATTTCAAGAAAGAATGACTAAATATATTGGTAGATCTGAATAGTAATGTTTTATTTATGTATGCTATGTGGTGGATACAGTTTCAAACTATTCTGAGGCATGTCCCCCACTGGGGAGTTTATCATCTATCCTACAGTAGTTCAAGTTCTAGTTAGGACCATATGTTTTGAATTTGTAAGAAGAATGTGGCGCATTAGAAAGTCAATATAAATAATAATAGAATGATAAATAATAAATAATACTGAACCTGCCCTCAGCACTTAGGTGCAATCATTTGGCACAATACCATAAATATTTTGCATACCCCATGGTGAAATTATGAATTACACATTACTCTTCACACACTTTGCTGCAAAGGAGTAACAAAGGAGTAGCATGATTCATTTTATACTAGGCACACTTATATAGCTTTGCATCTCTGTTAGGGTTACCTCTTTTACACCAAAATTAGCAGATGTACGGGTATTTTAGACACAGATACACCTGCTACCCCCCCCACACACACACACAGTGATTTACGTTCGACATCATGAATGCACAGACAACTGAGAAGCTCTTTCACCTCGCTGTCTTGCCAAATTAGCGTTCACCCAAGTATCACGTTTCCATCTCTACCAATCAGCCGGAGCCGATGAAAGACTGTGTCTACTAGAGTCATTTAGCAGGAATGCATGTCAATTTTATCCATTCCAATATCAGACAAAAGCCAGATATTAGGTTTTTTGACCAGTAGAATAGTAGCTTTGTGTTTACAGTACTATCAAGGATCAATAAAAAGAAATGGTAAGATTATTACAGAGGCTCAATCCCATAAATCAAAACTCTCAGTGACAAGAACAACCTGCTCTTATCTATCCAGCGAGAGGAGCCATTTCTGCTTTTATGAACAAGCTCTACTTTACTGGATCAATAATTCTACATTGGCCTCATATACAATAATGATTTACAATTGATCCAAATAATCCAAAACATCAGAGTAAAAATTCAGATCGAACAAAGCTTTGGAAAATCACTGCTGTTTCATTACATGGTTTGTGCTATGACATGTAATGTAAAGCTGCTCTCAGAAGATAACTCAATTCCAGATGCTTTTCTGAAATTTTCCAAAGGGACAGTATGTGAGAAAGTAATTGTCTGAGTCAGGAAAATTCCCAGAGAATTCCCAGTGAGGGAGTGGTCATACAACGTACTTGAACCTGCAAGAATACAAATATTTCAAGCAGAAAAAAGGGGTACCATACATTTAGAAGATGCCTCCAAAGATGTCAACTTGGAAATGCAAAAAAAGAGATTGGAGAGCTTTTGGTGATAAAGGCCGAAACTATAGTGTCGATGTGCTGAAAACAAAAACTTGATTGACATGTCCTGCCTCCTGAATGCTCTTCCTAGGCTGAATGTTCTGTAAATGTTCCTGTTGTTGGGAACGCATCTGACCTGAACAATCTCCTGCTGCATTCCTCATACTGTATGAGAAAGGCAAACACTGGAAGATGTCTGGACCCGTTTTTTTACCTGAGTTCATATCTGAAATCAGCTTTATTTCCCACTTACAACACTCCAAACCTAGCCAATTAGACAAATGATCCAATGATCTCAGAAAAGATTAAACAAGTTAAGCTTGGTTAAGCCTCGCAAGCAAGATAATGAATCCCTACTGAGATTAGAGTTTCGCTGTTGTTGTTACTGTTTATAGTAGTACTACTGCAGCTGAGTACTTAGTTAAGACTACACAACTGATCACCAGTGCTGTTTACCTGACATGGTGAGGTCCAGTCTGTGGATGAGGGAGCGCTTGGCTGACTCCATCTCAGGACTGGGGTTGTCCAACGCTTGGCGACACCACACGATGGGACTCAAGGCTTTTTGCAGGGGACTGTTCAGCTTCGTCTCATATAGCCTGGAAAAGAGCATACAACATTGTCACAGTATATTGTCAGGACATAAACGCAACACCAGCAAACATGACACAAACATGAACCGGCAACTTCCTCCTCTAATAATGGTCCAGCATGACAGCTGTTACGTATCACACCTCATATGTGATGAGACCTGATAGCTCCTTCAGGAAATTAGATTGACGGGGGAAACAAGTGTTTTGTCACAGAATGCTGCAGTAGAGATGACACTGCAGCAGAAAGGCATTTAGGCAGCTATCCCTGTTTAACCTTAGATTACTGTGATTTTTTTCGGCTAAAAAACTGTGACTTGGATATATTTTATATATATTATAACATCTCGATATAATCTTGTACTTCACATGTTGCATGTGTTGATATTGCAGAAACCAGTGTTCCTGTCTTTGGGATGTGAAAACATTGCAACTTTAAACTCCTGCTGCAGTAAAACTTAAGAGAATGCACAACTGTCTGTGGCTCAAAGCGTCTGAAAAAAGGGCACTGGGCTCAGCACTTTATCAGCTGCACTGATAGAAACTGATAGTAATCAAAGCCTCGAAATACTGATGAAAAATACGTCTACAAAAGACCAGTGAATTTCCTGTTACTCTGTTTGTCAGTTAAAACAAGAAGAGAAGAGTTTCCACTCTGTAGAGATATCTGAGTCAGCAGCTGTCAGCACTGTTGCAGCCATAGAGAAAGCCTTTCATGATGAAAGCTGAAACATTAGGGTAGAGGCAGGCTAGTGCAGAGGAAAACAAGGCGGAAATCTGGGGCGGCACGTTTTCCTTGTTTACACTCATTCACATTTAGTGCAGCACATAGTAAATCTCCCATTCTGCAGATATGACACTCGTGACGACATACACGAACTACCTGCTCCGAAACAATAATGCTTGTCAAGTCCACATGTGGTAGGAGTGGGACAAACACGCTTACAGGGCAAGTGCTGCAGGGGCAGGCAGCGTTTTCAAAAACCGTCCGGAGGCTAATTCAGGGATTACAGGAGTCTATGACAGGAGCTGGAGAGAGTTGGGCACTACGAGTAATCCCAGATATAAATCTGATCCAGAGGGCAGACAAATGGCTGCAGTGTAATGAGACTGGCTCTGCTGGGCATGAGTGAGCAATACCTGAAAGTAGTTGAAGGCTCAGTGGCTGGCAGAGGCAAGCTGCTGCAGGCAATTGAGGAAAAACTGTGGACAATGGATGGATTAAATAATAAAAACTTCATGAAAACGGACTTATACATAGTGATTGCCAGAATCTCTTTGTTCCATACACGTCATATACCTGTGGGCTAGTTTCAGTAATAAACCACTATTCTGCTTTGTCATAGTCTGCATTGTAATGGCACTTACTCATTATTTTTTACCAACATAGTTACATCTTGTAGACAGATGATTTGTGTGCTGACAGCCAGACATCTGTCACTGTCTGTTGGCTTTAGATACTGTTATTTAGGTGAACTATGCCCTAATGTTGCTCATTACAGTGTCATTATAGAAGATGCCAATCAGACAAACTCTTCCTGACAAGACAAGATAACGAGGACCATCTCCCAAAGAAGGCCTGCCATTACACTCATGAGATAGTCAGTACCTATACTGTTATCCTTTCAGACCTTCTGTAAACCCATCTCTTTATGGCTGACATCAGCCTTGTACGACTCATCTGTGTGTGACTCTGCCTTTTAAAGGGATTTCCTCAAGTTTGGATGAAAGGACACTTTAAGACAAATCCAGTCATATTCTGGAGTTTAAAAGATTTCTCTTCTTAAGTCTATCTGTGCAAAGCCACCTTAAGTCTAAAACCAGAAATGTTCAGCACTGGAGAACATAAAAAGAGCACATTGTAGAGGAGTACGAACGGACATGTGTTCCGTCAGGATAACTCTCATGACCAGCATGCTCATCTTTGTCCACAAGAAACTCCACGTGACCATTTTATCTTATTAATAGCCTGTTGTTTGTAATCCCTGTAAATGCAGTGCTCAGCTTCATGACACTGACGTAGCTTTTATTCCAACACGATGAGCTGACAGTCCTGGTTCTCATCTCCTGCCTTACTGGCTCACTGCTGTACAGAGCAATGTAGCTCGTGTGACAACTGGTGTGCTAAAGGAAATTCAGAGGAGGAATATATCCATGGCTACCTCTCCCACATGGCTGCTGCTGGCAGGAAAACAACTTTCACTTTCTAATGTGTGCACACTGATCTGCAAATCTGCCACATCACAACAGAGGTTCAACAGATGAGCCAGCAGAGAGTGTGAGTCTCACGGAACGAGACTATGCTGTGACTGTATGACAAGGCATGTCTAATATGGTCATACAATCCTACGTGGGAATGGCATCGCCCACATGACTTGCCAAACAACATCCTTCACACAGTCGACGAGGCTCCTTCAGATTTCAGCCTAGCTTATAGAGAAGATGGTTTCTGCACGTCGTTTGAGGCGGTAGATAAGTGTGGAGCAGTTGTACCCGGGCAATTAAAGCTGTCAACCCGCTCTGAAGACAGAGACACCTCCCCACACTCACCAGCTGTCCTCGTCTTCGTTTAGACAATCCATGTCCTCCAGGTCTAAGATTTCCACCTCATCTAGCACCGATGTCTCCATCTCACCCGCGAAGCTAGCGGCGGTGTCTGAATAAAGTGAGTTCATGCTCGACACGGAGGTGGCAGCCGATGCCCCCTCACATTCGTACGCCCTCCTGAAACTGATGCCGTCGTAGGAGAGTCTGGGGCTCAGGCAGCGGTTGTTCTCCAGCAGCCCACCGTAGCCTCCCGTCCCGACGAACCCCACCCCAGGGAAGCCGGCCAGACCAGCTGCCATCCCCGCGGACAGGGACGAGGAGTCGTAGCCGGCGCTGAGGGGTCTGTGGTTCCCTGTCATCGCTCCGGACGTGGACAACATGGTGGACCTGCTCCGGAGCTGCTCGTTCTGCTGTTCGAGCTTCTTCACCAAGTCCTGGAGCTTCCGCACCTCCAGGTCCGCGTTGATATTTGAGTTGATATCCTCCATGGTGGCTCCCCAGCCAGCCCAGCGGAAAAAACGCAGCGGTGTTTTTGGACGTTTCTCTGCCAACAGTCTGTCTGTGCGGGTTTACTTCACTGTTACCTCCGTATTCTCACAAGACACACCGGTGTTCCGCTCACTTAAACCGCCCCGCGTCGTCATCTTCCCCGGTTGTTCGAGCTCACGGGCAGGGTCGAGGCCATTTTCATAATAGTCGTCACCAACTGTGAAAGACCAACAGGCGGCGGACCCAATACGTCACTGCGTTCAGTGTCGGGAGCGAGCACGTAACCAACACCTATTTGCGTGTGCACAGATTTCACTCGGTGTTTACGGATCAGGTTTTAGTAACAAACCCAAATAAAGTCATTGCTGTGGGATAATGGCAAGTTCATACAAGTGTAAAGACCATCTGTAATTGAATTTATTGTATCATTATTTTAGTCAGGCTGTCGCAGTGTGATGTTCTATCTCTTTTCAAAAGAGACCTGAGAACAGGAGACATCCACAACCAGCAAATGAAAACAATACAACGAGGTAATAAATATAAGTAACTATATGTAACTATGACTTGATTATAAGAATGAAGAATCATAAAAAAACATCAGTTAATAAAGATTTGTATTCAAATAATATGATGATAATAATAATAAAGAGTTAAAAACAAGATAAAACAAAACATTGTAAAATGATTCAAATAGTCTGTTCGATCTAGGAGAACTAGGAGGAAGCACACCTATTGAAATGTGTCTTTAAGATTTTAAAAGAGATAGGAAGTTTGCCAGATGGAGTTCCTCGGGGAGATTGTTCCACAGAGTGGACAGAAAAAGCCTGGTGACCTTTGGTTTGGGGAGTAGGGCCTTTGCTGAGGACCTCAGTTTACGACCGGACACAGGATGTCAAATGGTCCAAAATATACTTCGATGCAAGTCCAGGTAGAACCTTAAAGGTCAGCAATAAAATCTAATAATCATTTCTAAAATTTTATGGAGATCAGTGAAGAGAAGCTAAAGTCAGAGTCATATGCTTTCTTTTAGCAGGTTGCAGCTCATTCGATTAAAAAGGCGCATGATACCTGAGCCCAGTCCTTTCTAACATTAGTGCAAGCATAGAGGTTATCTACAGTGATGTAGTAAGTAACTGGATCGTGTAATGAGTAGTTCTAAATGAGAAAAGAGATTCATCAGTCAATACTAAAGTAGGCTTGTGATTTCTGATATTGTGATTTCACTGTAGCTCTTTTTCTGCCCTTTAGTTGTCACTTAGTTGAAATGTTATACTGCATCTTCTTCTCCAAAGCATTATTGTTTTAGACAGTAGAATCCATGTGCACCACCCACATGTGCATGATCCATTCATACAACAGTCTGCGCCTTCATGCAGAATCCAAAGATCGGAAAGGTTCTGAATTGTGCATTGCCAAGATAGTGACACTGTATCTTCATCAAATTCACTAAGGTGTGAGGATCCTTTAATGTTGCATTTAATTTTTGCTACAAAATGTCACAACCAAATAATATTAAAATGATCATTAATGTACATATTCTATTTATTCATTTTTGTGTATATTTATAACTATTTAAAAATAGAAATTAAGCAGAAAAACTAGAATTAGCGCCCTGTGGTTGTATGACTCAGCAAACCAGTGCAGAATTCATGAGGTCTCCTTGACCTTCGACCCCTAAATCACACTAATCACACTGTCTGAGTCCAACTGAACCTTTGTATTAAATGTAAAGAAATTCCCTTACGGTTTTCTGAGATGTTCCTTTCACAAGACCAAAAACCTTCTGCCACTGCCTGTCACCAGTATTGAGCCATGATAAAGAATCCAACAAATATAAACACAATCCTGTTTATTTTCTAATACAAACATATTTTTCAAAAAATGAAAAAAAAACACAAAACAAAACATGGAGCCAAGTCCTTTGTTATATTGCCCCTTCCTGTGACTCAGGCTTAAGAGAGTTCCAGCGCTTCTTCAGACTCCAGACGTTCCTCAGTTTTCTGACACCCATCTCCTCCACCCTGTTTGGCTTCACCTTCAGCCTCCACACTCTCCTCTCCCTGCCCCTCGCTTGTCATGGTAGTTTCCAGTCCCTCCTGGTCGGCACTGGCGTTCTGTGAGTCGGCTCCCTCCTCATCCTCATCTTCTACATCCATCTCAAAAACACGAATGTGCCTCAGATTGGCACTCAGCTGCCAGAAAAGAATAAATAAAAGTTGTAAAAGTGAAAGCAGTCCAATACATTCAGTCATGACTCTGCTGTCAGAGTAGTTTGAGAGCATTGAAGGTGGATTATCTGAACCCTAACCAAGCACAGCTCATTTACACTTAATATCCCACATTATAATCCCCAGGCACTCAAAATATACTGGAAAGTACCAGATATTAACTTGACTTACCACACAGGCTACTTTGCGGATTCCATTGACAGCTACAAATTGAGCCTTCATGCTCTCCAGTTCACGCCACTGATTCCCCAACACTAAGCCTTGACACGGGATGTTACTGCTCTGCTGATCCAACCTGACAACAAAGGTGACATAAGCAATGTTTTAAGGTTAGGCCTTGTCTCTGCTGTTCATCAGCTGTAAGATTAAATATTTAGCATGGGGTTAGTGGATGACATTCTATTATCTCCACTGTGGAGGTTTTCATCTGCGTTTGTTTGTTAGTAAGTTAGTTAGCAGGATTACACAAAAAATAATGGACATTTAACATTGTGAGATAGGGCATTTTTCAATATTTTCTATGTTTATTATTGACTATTATAGATTAGTACTCTTTTTAACTGAGAAACAGATGTACTTACAATTTTGTGATTTTGAAACAAATTGTATTTTCAGAATGATGAGAGATATCAATAATAACACACACCTCAGGTTCGGATCCCAGTTGAACTCTGTCTCACAGCTCAGGGTGGAAGCAAGAGGCAGCTGAGCCAGGACACGTCGACTGTTGTCTCCTTCTGCTCCTTGCAAGACTACTGTTAGCATTTCATCGTCATAGAACCGAGCATCTAGGCAGCTGTAAGCATAATGAGACCTTAAAAAAAGAAAATCAAAGTAAACTATGACTGAAACATTTTCACCAGTCGAGGAGATGGTGGCCTTCATGTTTTACAAATTGAATGGTAGTAACGTCATGAGACGAACTCACTGGGCAGCAGCGTTATCATCTGCACTGTCAAGATGGTGGCTCAGGTCAATGGACATAACACTGTTGGGAATATGTCTGTGCAAAGAAGAGAAGTATCGTTAAAAGTCTAAATTACACATAAAAGAAAAACATATGTAATGACAGAAATGTACCTGTCTGGGTCTGTTCCTTTCCGTAACAGGTAGAGCTTGCAGGGTGAAATGTCTGGCATGCTGAAGAGGACATAATGCATTTTGGTCTTCTTGTCGTTCCATCTGTAAGACAACAGAAAATCATTAATTCAAACATTTTACAGTTTCAGATTACTGTCAAACTCCAAGATGTTTGTGTTTTACGTACAAAGATGGAAGTTCAAAGAGTCGTGGGGTGTTTGAGCTAGAAAGACAAAGGACATGAACAAGTGAGTACAACTTGACAATAACTGAGTCATATTTCAAAATTCAGATTTTTAACAGAGACATCAGATCATACCTCTCTGGCACAGTGTACAGCGGCAAAATCACAGCCTGTTTTACCGATTTCCCAATTACTTCCTAGATACAAGCAAAGCAAAATGTAAACTGAACAATAATCTTTATTAAGCACCTCTACAGAATACATGTAAATTGTCAAAAACACAAAAAGTAAGTTCATTAAGGATTTATTCAATGAGAGAGAATTACCAAAACATTGTATTTATTGGTCTTGGCCAAAAAGCTGTGTTGTGGCAAAAGGATGTAGAAAATGCTTAATTCTGTCTTAAAGCCTCATTTTAGATCCTGTAAATCCCTCAGAGATTGAACATAGCTGATCTCATGAATGCTCATACGTCTAGTATGATACAGAGGAGAGATAACAGGGCCCTGAATGTGTCAGGCTCTTGACCTTTGTAACTTAATTCTGATGGTTAGATAAAAAAGATATGACTCAGTGAAAACTCACTGCAGGTTTCTGTAAACACTGTTCAATCACGTTCTCCATCATCCTCTTGACAAAGTGCAATGACTTTTGGGGATATGAAGGGAACAGCAACGGGCTCTCTGAACAAAACAGTCAAACATGTTTTCCGTTAGTCATGAGAAAAGCATTTTTTGCCATATACAACCTTTTACTTTGTTCTGAAATATAGTGACAAATTGCAAATTGTTTATTCACTATTTTTATTACCTTTCAGGTGCGTACTCTCCTGCAAAAACTTCAACCACTGGTTTCCCTTGTTGTTGGGCGGTGACACGAGGTCTTCATCCTCATCTTTCAGGTACTATACATGTCAATATGAAAGAGATACAGAAATTAAAGATTCCTAATTTTTTTATATTAAAAATACTCAAAACAGCACAAAAAAACACTTACCTGACCAACTCGTTCCACATTAAAGTACTTTCCTTTGCGATCAAACAGTTCTTCATTCTGTTACACCAGGGAGAAATGGAACTCAGTGCATATCAAGCTATAAATGTAATACAAATGTATTTGATTGTCTGTATAGTGCTGGTATGCTGGTCTCACCTCACTGAAATGCTCAGACAGGAAGTCAGCAACGAAGGCGATGTCCTTCTGAGTCATCTAATGGATAAATCAACATGTTAAAAAAGGAAATCGACACGTTACAAAATAAAAATCTCATATCTTTCTCTTGCTCACCTTGTTGAGCTCTGGTGGTACATGCTCCTCACACATTCTCAGCATAGCTGTGTAAAAAATTAAGCAAAAACAGTTTGAGCATAAAGACAATAATTCAGAGGGAATACATGGGTTATTAGAAACTATTACATCAAATGTTCACAATGATACATGTTTCTGTATCAAAATCAACAAGTCAAACTTTAAAGACAAACTTCTTACCTACGTACAGCCACCGAAAAAAGGCTTTGAAGTTTTTCATACTCTTGTCAATCACCCTGAATTACATAATAAAAGCAGTGATTATACAGAAAGCAGTGAAATAATATAAACATTATCTGAGATTTCTGAAATCTTCTAACTCACTGTAGAAGTTCGTTGGCTTTGAGAGAGAAGGAACCCACTGCCGTGATCGCACCTGAAAACACAAAACACACATGATGTGGCTCTCGATGATAAAAAGCAGAATTTCTCGTCATCATGCAGGTTAGTGAAATGGTACCTTCTATAGCTGCTGAATCCAGACCAAGGGGCTCAAACTTCTGCTTCCATAGGGACATGCCTTTCACCTCACTGAGGTGATACAACAGAGCCTCAGAGCCACTGCAGTGAGTGAAAGGGAGGGCGAGTTTAAATGAGAGACAAACAGGCGGCAGTAGCACTAAGGAGTAGATCCTGACTGATTTTTGGGTATCTGAGCTTATTGTTAGCAATATGACAACATTTATTTTACACAACAAATGATGCACAAAATATGTGCATTTACATACATATCATTTCTATATATTTTTTTTTAATTTGTGTTTTGTTTTTATTCATATTTACATTTATGGTTAAACTGAAACTATAAAGCCAAAATTTAGTTTTGCATCAGTGAAAATCCATGTTGTTCAGCTTCTACTGAGGAGAGAGAAAAGCTGAGAATACCTCTGCAGGTGGCTGATGACTAGCTTCTGGATGCTGGAGTAAGAGGACTCGATGGAATGGCCAAGCTTCTTCAGGCCCTATGATGGAAATGGAAAAGAATTACAATGAGGTGTGATTTTCAGCTTTACCACCTAATGAATCTGTGACACAATATCAGAAACTCTCTCAAAAAAACAACCCATTAGAAGGAAACAGCAGATGTATGTAATCTTTCTCTCACCTTGACAGTGAGCTGGTTCATGAGAAGAGCTTGTAGTTCTGGGCTACAGGGAAGGAGAGAGCAAATGATGCATGAGTTTTTCATAGAGCTAAAACTTTTTAGCTTTAGAGTTTAAGTCCAAGATATGGTGCCACCATCTACAATATACTTCATGACATCATAATACACAAATACTAACAGTAGAAATTGATCTTTTCTTACCTCGATTGTCCCCACAGCAAAAGCTCCAGGAACTCATCTTGAACCTGAGTGCTTGTGTTTTTCTCCTTAAAAAAAGAAAAGAAAAGAATTGTTGCATCTCTCTTTAGTTAACCAATTTGAGCAACAACCTACGACTACTGACCTGAACAAACTTAGTGAGTCGAAGGTCCATCTGCATAAGGATGTCCTCCCAGGCTTCACACATACATGTGAGCGAGAGATGCAGGTACTGAAGGAGCGTGGAGATGTGGGTGAACTTGCGCGCCATCCGGGTGACCTCAGGCAGACAGTCAGACAACAGCCCTGTGTCCAGCTGGAAGACAAATATAAAATAAAAGGGCAGATAAGATTGTAGATTAAGGCATGAAGAAAAAAATACAGTTTAAAAGAAACAGAAAATAAAGACACTTCATACACATTACCTGAATGTAGCAGATCTTTGGGTTGTTCTCATCAGATCTGACCTCTGTGATGACGGAGAGCGACTTGAGATCACTGGATAGACTCAGGCTGCGACACCTTCCGGATACCTATAAAGCATAATTCAAATTTTAATATCATTCTAATCTAGATCTAATCCAGATTTTTTTATTTTACAGGTACAGTTCTGTTACCTTCAGAATTATAATCTAAAACCTTTAATCTATTAACACTGTTTTGTGAATTACGAAAACTTTTGTGAAACATGTTTACATTTTTTTAGACTAACACGGATTCTACTATACAATAATATTCAACTCAAATTCTTTTGTGGTGTTATAGAGAATCCTATTTTATGTAGAGATGTTTTTATCGTGTGATGATCAAATCCTTGTAGATGAAAAATATATGTATATTATATAATTATTATAAACCAATAATAATTCATCAGTCTAATTTATCCAACTCTTTCAGAGGATGTAAAAGACAACTCTTAAGAATGACTGAGACTTACTCCAGTTAAAGTGGCAATCTTATACATCCCATAGGCATAAAGCTCCACAAAGCCATCTTCACCCCCGAGAACAAGTACATTCAGTCTGCACAGGAACAAAATGGAGAAGTGAAATGATTATAAGATATTAAAAAGGTTCAGTTTTGTTTGTGTGCTATTAAGTATCAAGTTTAATGTACCTGACTTCTCCCAGAAGATTCATTATTTCATCTGACTTTTCTTCACTGTAACACAGATAATTTAAAACTTTCAGCTGCTGTCAGAAACAATCAAAACATATATTACATAACTGGTATAGGACGTATATATTTTCAAAATTCTGTCTCACCTGAAGATCTTTGATGTTGTGCTATAGCTGTGAAAACAAAAGTTTGAAAAATTATATTTTGTCAACCCATGATTTGCCTTCTTAAAATCTAAAGTATAAGTAATGCTGCTGTTACCTCTTGGGGAGTGCTGGTAATTTGGGAAGAAAAAGTTTGGACTCATCTTCTGAATTGTAAAAGGAGCTGAGCGCACTGAAACATGTCAGAAAAGTCTAATCAACTCATATTCTTGAAAATAAAGGCGTTTGTTCCACTAGTTTGATCCCTGAGCCTTACACATACCTGCTCTCCTCCGTCACCTCCATCCAGTGCATGCAGGTTACAGGGTTCTGCATCGGAAACACATGTAGAATCTCTGCTTTCTCCACACCACACAGGACCACCTGCTTGGTGTCTCCAAGGCTGAAGGCCAGTACTGAGGAGACAGGACGAGAGGATCAAAGTATAACAACCTCATGATCACATCAATCAGCAATCCAAAAAGAGGCAATGTAAGTAGTCATTCCTTACTTTTGCCATCAGGTCTCCAGGCGAGAGCAGTGATCTCCTTCCCAGTATACTCACTGGGTGGTAAACTCCAAACACGCTGGAAACTGGCCAAACGATGCAGCAGCAGCTATGGACAGATTGTAGCCACAAAATTAGAAGCATAAAACTGAACATGACATATTCTAGAATACACTTTTTTTTTTTATACCTCTCCTGTTGTGTTGGCCAGAGCAATCAGGTCCCGTCTGGGAGACCAGGCCATACACAGAACAGGGTTAGGAAGCTGCTTCTCTCCCACTTGGCGGAACGCAGGCATATTGTTAGCTGAAAAATGTGGAAAGTGTTAATGAATACATGAATAACAGACAGTAGCTTTCAGTTTGCATTATTACGTTAATACAAATTTTACTTTGAGAAAGTTTCTTCTGTGACGATGTATCCCTATGACTGGTGCTGAGGAAGACGACTGTGCGGTATCTGTTGATACATGCACCAATATCAAACAAACATACACATCAGTCTAGCTCCTGTAATGCAAAAATAGTGCACATCTGTTTACTTTGTTTTTCTCAATCCTGCAGACAAACACATGAAAACATAACCTCGATGTCAGAGGTAATAATTACTTGTGGCTGTGAATGGATGTAATCATGTATGGAACTGAAGATGGACGACACTATTGCTTTCATTTCACTTATGACTTGTGGTGGGTGATATGAGACAAACCCTATTACTGAAACAGCATAAGATGTTCCTGGAGATAACATGGTAGTAATGCACCCTTTCAGAATATCATGAGATTATAATCAATGAAATCCCAGAGGGTAAGTAGCCTCATGTCACCTAACAGTCTGGTGTCTCCCTCAGGTCCCTAATAATAGCTGGACACATTTTCTTGCAGGAACACGAAGATGCAACTAGCTGCTGGTAAAATAGTTGTAATAATAATGTGTTTATACAAGCCACGAACTAAACAACACAGCGCTGTAAAGCCAGGCTCACTGACGGTCCGTGCTGATTAGCCCGGACTCTGTCTCACTTACTGGGTAGAGTTGTCAGATGAGGAGCCTCAGCACCAGTGTTAGCTGCTCAGTTAGCAAACCGAGGAAGCTAATGTAGAGAGAAGCTAACGGCTAGCTTCAGCGAGCTGAACGCCATAGACAGAGATAGTAACCCCAACACACTGAGGACATATAGCGGTGTCAAAAACACGCGGGCATGTCCTGCACAGTATTTAACTTTTCTTCATGATGTTTTCACAGTTGCGCGGACGGCGCCATGTTTTTACCGTCGACCAATCACTGCTGAGCAACGGGAGTCGTGAGAGGACAAATCTGTTCAGGGCAGGAAACGCAATTCCTTAAAGCAGGAGCCAGAGTGAGCAGAAGGAACTCTTCTCTAAAGTGTTTCCAAAAGTGTTGGGAAGCTTCTGACAGTCAACATGTTGATCACTGCTGGTGAAACAGTAAGTGACAACGCAGTACTATGTATACACGTATTTATTTTAAAAGTTTTATTCTGAATATCCACATCAGACATGTTAGTTACTGTTATTATTTATAATAGTACATCTATTGTCTTGTTAAATTCATGGTTTATCTCAAGTGTTTTCATCCAGTCGTCCTGTAGTGGTCACAGTGCCACATGGTTTTCATGGTACTGCCAGTAGCCACATTTACCCTCAAGTTGGGCTTGTATCAAAACAGTGAAGAAATGCTGCAGATTCAATATTTCATGAAATAGGTCTGTGCTATGATACTGAATGTTAAACAACTATTAATATGAAACATAAAACTCAACTTTATGGCCTTAGTGAGTCACCAATGAAATTATACTCTCTGATATTTTCTATTTCTCCTCTTTGTGTCAGGGTAATGCCTTTGCCCCATCATGTTAATATGTGTTTATCATGAGACGAAACTCTGACACATACTGTGATATATTTAAACACTATAAAAACATCCTATAAGGAATAGAGCTTTGGTGTGCACATGTGATATAAAGTTATATTCTTATATAAACCACAAACAGAGAGTGTAGGTCACAGATGCCACCACTAAATAATGCACTTATTAATCATTTACACTATAGTTAATGCTAATTGTGGTAAGAAGACAAGTGAGTATGATTTTAATGTGTGTGTGTGTGTGTGTGTGTGTGTGTGTGTGTGTGTGTNTGTGTGTGTGTGTGTGTACAGTAGACAGGTATTACAGTGGAAATTCCTTCCAAACTTATCTCTGGCACTCAGCTGTAATCAGTAGTTTGATGATGAAGAACCAGAATAACTCTGAGAGCACAAAATGTAATGGCCTAGAAATAGACCATGTGAGACTGTATGGTCTTTGGCAGTTTGTGACTGTCAGGAAAGCCAACAGGGCTATCTATCGCCTCTGTTTTACACGATTTACAGCGCTCTGGTGAGGCACAAGAGTGAAGGATAGTCACAAAAATAATGAATCCAGACACAGTAGCAGTTATAACAGAAAATGACAGGCAGATATTCTAATACAAAATCCAAATAATTGGATCGAAAAGGAGAAACCAAAGTCATCAGAGTCCAACCACCCATCTCCACTAATTTGCTGGCCTGCACCATGTTTGATATTACTGGCTGTGAATGAGTGTGAGAGAGGAGAAAGCACCTTCTGGGTTTTGATGCTGTAAAAATTGGCATTTCAATCTTAATCTTTCCACTGTTTTGGCCTGAATCTAAACCTTCTTTCTTTGATACACTCAATAATAATTGTTGTCTGGGCAGAGAAAAACACTTATTCAAACCTTTACATGTTCCATGTAGACAGGCAGCATTGACCTTGACCAAACCCTCAGCTGAACCTTCATCTCAGCTCTAGTTATTATTAAACTCAGCACCAGGTAGAACAGACATGTGGGTGGTCTCGGGTCATGGGTCGACGAAGCTGGCGACACTGACAAGCTGCTGTCACGTCACTGTGTCATGTTAGACGTCTTCAGTGGGCGAACCATAACCAGCCAATAACTGACTTATTCAGCAGGTTGTCTCTTTATTACCCTCATGTGTGGTTGTAACGGAGGCCGATGCAGACTGAGGCTTGTGTTTTATTAAATCAACCAAAATTCTCCTGGTTTATTGGTGTATATTAATGGTGTAGGATGTCAAATATTACACCTTGTTTATTGTGTTTCATTAAATCCTGTTTATGTGAAAAATGTCACCGCTACCTTCTGTTCCCCAGGACTACCTCACCACTCTCTCTCCTCCTGCCAGTATTCAGGCTGTGAAACCTGAGCCAGGGGCCAAATATAGCCCCACACAGTGAGCAGTTAGGGACCGGGACAGATGGGACAGCAGGCCACTGCAGAGGCAGTACGCAATTGGACCCTGAACCTGAGAGATCCTGCTGACCGTCTGACCAATAAGGCTGCTCTTCTGGGAAGAGAAGCTTCTTCTTTGGCTCATTCTTACTTAATAAACACAACAATCCTGGAACCACAAAACCTAGAGAGAGTTTGGACTAATAACCCATTTTAAGGTAAGTTTTCTTTTCTTTTTGTTGATACTTTCAACTGCTTTTTATAGTTTGGTTTTGAATTGATTAGGAAAAGTATGACTTAGATCATTCATGTAACTTTACAACCATTTTAAAATATAGTCTTCATAAAGGCTACATCAGCCCTAACATGGTGTGAAGCTTTGAAGCTGTGTTTTTAAAGAAACATTTGATTAATTCCCAATCGAATGTTTGTATTAAATATTTGAAGGTTTAGTAATTCAAGGACATGATATGAAGTAGTGGAAACTGTAACAGCGCTGGCAGTCATTAACATTTTGTTAATCAGTCTCAATTTTCCACATTCATATTTAATCAGCTCTGTGCCATCATTGTTGTTCTCTTTAGACAATGGGATGTCTGAGGGACATGGTCTGGGTTTAATGCTTTAACCCAGTTACTGTCAGTGAACGTCCAGTCTTACCTGTGTGTGTGTTTGTAGGTAGGGTCCGAGTTTGATGGGCCTGTGTCCTGTGCTTAGGGTGGGTGGAGTTGCAGTGCTGCTGTGAAACATAGCCCAGGAGATTAAAAATAACAACAGCTGGTCTTCAGGACGCCATGAGGCGCCGAATGTGTATCTGCACCAATAGTTTGTAGTGTCAAGTCTTCAGAGATTAGATTTATATATAATGCATTACCTCTTCCATGGAGGTTATGTTTTCATCCATGTTGAGATGAATGGGACTGTTGAGCCTTGACGGAGGTATGCGTTCTACTGTTGAGATTCTAATATTTATTATGTTCATGGTTATTGCAAAAACATCCGTTTTCTGACTGTTTCTCTTTCTTAGTACAAAGCAATACTTCTTTTCTTGCTAAAAAAAAAAAGAGGATCAGTCATCCATCCATCCATTATTTACCACTTATTCTTTGAGAAAAGGTTCACTCAGTTTACAGAAATTGAATGTGAGATTTTGGACCATGTTGCAAAACTATTTGCTGATTATTAAAAAAACAATCAGAGGCTTTGTCCATTAATCCTGTATTTAATCTAGTATATGAACAATTAAAAAAGGGAACAAAGTGTTGGGTTAAAATGTCCTCACACAAACAGGGCGAGTAAGAAATGCCAGTCATGTTGTCTATGACCTCAGTAAAGGCCTTTGCTAATACCGGCCAACTGTGTCTGACTCATCCTGCCAGCTCTGGCTGCTCGAGGAAGAGTGATTCTGTATCGTGTCCAGTATATTTTAATCTTCTATTCTGTCTCACTGTTAGTAATTGCCCTTTTTTAACTGATGGGTAGTATAAACTGTAATGTCAAACTAATCCGTTTGTACTACCCATCGTCCACAGTGTAAACATGTGTCATTTCGTGGCTGATTAAAGCTGATGTGTATTTCAGGATGCAGGACGGGAGTTGGAACCAGCCACTCCCCAGCTCTCTGCTGCTAAAAGACTCAGCAGCAGGCAGGGCTTTGGAGGGTGATGGAGGTGTGTTTTCTGAGGCCTCCTCCGATGGGGAGCTCTACCTGGGTTCTGGAGACGGGGACTTTGCAGATCTTACTGCCTTCTTAAGTGCAGAAGAGATTCATCATAGTCTGGACCTGGCCCGGGAGGCCTTCGGTGACCCATATGCATGTGAAGATCCAGGCGCCTCTTATCCCAAACCCCAGGAGCAGGCTCTCCAACCGATGCCCCCCCTCCCTGTGAACACCCAGACTGCTGAAAACCTCCCCACGAGCTCAAACGTACAATACCAGACCAAAGCCCCCGACCCGGATGATAACGGAACAGCTAAAGTCTCCTCTGGCCAGAACACTTTCCTCAGCAAACCTGTACAGGTGTCCAGTGAGGCTCTGTCCTCTGCTGAGAAGGTTGTCCGCCACAAACCCATCCAAATACTTTATAAGCAGGATAAACCCAGGCTTGTTCATGCAGACCTGGAGCTGAACGATCGGGTTTCTTCAGCCACAGAGTTCTGTAGCCGAGCCGCCACGTTCATTGAGGAGCTGTCGTCCATTTTTAAAGGTTCTGCTCACCTGGAGCAGCAGATGGAGGATGATTCCTCCTCTCCCGACAGTGGCTATCTGTCTCCCAGGAGCCAGCGGACAGTCCCTCAGGGCTCCGTCTCTGCTCCCCCTCAACCTCCTGTCCAGCAAGAGCAGACACAGTACAGCCAGACAGACACGGGCCCTCAGCCTGGAGGCCCGGTGGAAGTCATAGCTGCAGCTAGGTATCAGCACTCCGGAGCTCCAACCACAGCCGAACCCCTGTCCCCCCCTCAATTCCTCCAGAAGCTGAAGAGTCAGGAGGTGGCAGAAGGAAGCCCCATCCGTCTGGAATGTAGAGTGACAGGAAACCCCCTCCCACTCGTCAGGTAAGTTTGACCTGATTTTTATGACTTTGATGTGAAGAATGTGAGATTTGACAGACATCTGCTGAGTCTTTTGTGAAAAATGACATAATTAATTTACTACAGTGGAGTAAATTAATTATGGAATGGAGCAATGGAGTAGATAATAATTTACATATTATTACATGAATAATTCACCTTCATATTTTTTGTTTTCCATTATTTACTGGGAAGGACATTCAGAAATAAATATACAGGTTTTATCAAATGCATTTTAGTGCATTACAGTAAAAAATTCTTTCTCATCTAATTCATATTCATAAAAGTGTTTTTATTTATCTTATTTGTTTATCTCTTTAAGTGTTTGCACATTTCTTAGTTGATTCATTAATTGATTATTGTCTTTTTTTCTGCTGACTTTTAAGTCAGTTCATTGAGCTATTGATGGTAGAGATTTTAAGGTATATGAGGGAATTGTTGCCTTATTCATTTACTGAATTTAGTTTGTTGATGAACGTCATGTGTATTCACCAGGATCTGATCTAGTTACATTTTCTTAACCTCAAACTCATTGTGGCTTATGTTTATATGACAGCAGCAGTTCACACAGAAAGACATTTGTGGATGCAGGATCCCTGTAGTTTTACATATTTTGACAGTTGTTGTTGAGTTGTTGACTCTGCTGGTCAGGTGAAGGTGGGACACTGTTGTGTAAAGCTGCTCTCTTTTTGCTGTAAATTTGTGTCTGATGTTTTCACCAGTCATTGCTCCATCTCTCTGATACTGAAAGCATGGACACTATTTCAGTGGTCCATTAAGACATTGGTCCTGACATAATGCATCAAGTTATTCACAAAGACTGAATGAGCACTGACTTTATAGATACATATTTTCTTGCCATGCCGATGGATTTGGTTTTATTACCTCCACCAATGAGGTTATGTTTTCATCTGTATTTGTTTGTTGGAGCAAAAACTCAGAGAATAATTCATGGATTATGATGAATGGAATCAGACATGTTTAGGGGACTGACATTTGTGATTGTGTATAATTTAGAGGGACCATGAACAATCATGTAACAAAAGATTTCTACAAACATTATACACAAACAGATGATCATCAAACATTTAAAAACAAGTGGCTGCATTGCAATTCCTTTAACATTCAGCGCCACACTTGGCGGAGGTAAGGGCTCTACTGAGTGTCATCCTAGTTTGTCATGGTGTTGAGATATCTGTGTCAGATTTATGTCGCCACCTATACAACGGAGCTGGATGGAATTTTATTTGTTTTAATAGAGTGTTGAATAAATTCAGTAAAAAATTGCCATCATCTTGTCTTTCTAGTATGCGCTCCTGTTACTCTGGGTGATCCACTCAGCACAATGATATTAATGTTTCATGTGTTTGGTTGAAAGTAGTGTCGAGAATGAACTCTGCATAGACAATGTTGCTGAATCCTTTAAATAAAAATTAAATTTCAAATAGTTTTTTGATGGTGTAAAACCATCAAAATTTATTTTGCTGTCATTGCATTAAATTGAAGATTGAAATCCTGGGCAGCGAGATCTCAAAACTCTATAACACTAAATCTGTTCTCATAACAAGCTTTTAGTGGGTAAGTGAACAAAATGTCAGTCACGTATTTTAGGAGAAAGTGATTCTCCAGGTCTAGTTTGACTGCAAGATGTTGAATGAACCTGACCCCTGAATACACTGACCTACACTATATGAATAGCCCTTTATATCACAGTGTCAGTGATGCTGAGCAGACCCAGCATCAGGATCCAGCCTCTCTGGCCTGGCCACTGGTGATAAGGAGGGTGAGGTGTGCGGCAGCCGGGGGTGAGAGCGACCCATGTGTTGACAGGCAGAGCAACTGGTTTTCGACTTGTGGGGGATTTCCACTCTGTGCAAGCACATTTATCCATTGGTACCTGAGCCAGTTGTCGAATTTATACCTGGATGAACTGCTATTCCTCTGGAGAGGACAGCAAGCCTTGCCCCTGGTTATCTGCACCGGTTCATCAGCAAACTAAAAATACACTCCTCTCTTGTTTCTAGATATGTCGGCCTCACAGATCAGTCGACTTGTTTGCTGTTTACTATATAGAAATACCTGAATAAGTATTTAGCTACTCTATTCCGTTGATGACTTCAGTGGTATGAGGATGGCCTCTCTGCGGTGTGTGTTTTCTTTTTCTCCTCTTGAAACATTACAGCACAACAGGCCCTTTAAGCCAAATCTCTCACACTGATCTTTTTCAAGATCTATGAATTATTTGCTGGGAGAACGGTGAAAATGTTGAACAAGGCCTTATCTCAGGATGTTGAAGAGGTGATAAAAAAACATCCTGGATCTACTCCCTGATCTTGTTCTGCACCAAAAGTTTATTGATTCTTCCATAACCCCATACCACATCCTTACACCAAGTTTCATGGAAATCTGTCCTGTTGATTTTGTGTAATCTTGCTCACTAACAAGCAAACAAACAGACAGGGGTGAAAACATGACCTCCTTGGTGGAGGTAATGAGTAAACCTTGATCCTCAGAATAGCTGCTTTAAAATGTGTAACTCTAAAATTAGCTGAAACTGTTTACATATACCATTTGTATCTACTTCTTCCAGCACTGCACTGAATCATTATTATGATAAAACTACCAGAAGGATACACTGTTACATTGTGCACATGTTTCCCTTTATGACAGAATTACCTTGTGAAACCTTACTAACTTGCCCAACATTTGAAATAATATACGTCTAACAAATCATCATCCCGACTGAGTTTATTATACTACAGCCTCCTGCGGAGTGAGAGTTTCAGTTTCAGTGCGTTTCGAGCCGGCGCTGCGTTTTTAGGTGTTTGTGTAATCAGAGGACATAAAGGCAGCAGCCCAGGACGTGTATCTCCCCAGTGGGCTGTGAGGGGCCTCTTCTGTAGCTGTATAAATAGTCTTCAGGCCAACAGGAGCCAGGCACAGGAATGCAGGCAATGCAATGACAAGGCGTTTTCAGTCACCACGCTCAACATCTCCCCACACCTTCTTGGGGAATATAAAGGTGTTAAGCCGCAGGCACTGTGGCCACACTCGTTTCCTCTATCAGAGAAAATGAACAGACAGCTGAGAGGAGTGACGTGGAAAAGTGTAGAAAAATGCACTTCTCCTTGTAATTTAATTATTAATGTATAGTTTACAAGTGTCTGCAAAAGTTGAGATTGAATTCAGTTGTTACCTTGGTACTTGGGTGGATAATGCAAAAACCACTGGACAGATTTCCACAAAACTTGGTTATAGAGGTCAGGATGTGGTACAAGTCAGGGAAGAACCTGTTATTGTTCGGTGTTGATTCGGATTAGGGGCAGATCTTATTTTGTTTCAATCAACATTGTGAGATAAGGAGTTTTCCAAAGATTTTTGATGATGCTTCTCAATGATATCAGGCATGTTCAGGGGACTGAAAGCTCTCTGTCACTGACACCAGGCACTCAGTGTTGTTTGTGTGCTATTTGAAAAAAGAGCCATCACCCTTGTCTTGACTACTTGGTGTGGACACTAGAGGGCAGCAAATAATTTATTATACAAAATATAATTATGTGTCCCTGTGAAGCTTCTTCTGGAGAAAACATCCACATAGAGATTTTTACAGTTGCAAAGATAGCTTAGCAGATGTCATATCAGTTGGAGATAAAACTCAATGTTTTCTCTGCTGGACTGTTTTATATGATGAATATACAGTACAGGTGATTATAAAAGTATTTGCTCCCATCTCTCCGCTCTGCTAAACTGTAAAATACGAAACTGATGAATTTGTTGGTGTATATCTAGAACTTTTCATCGTTTTCACAAATCTGCATCTTTGCTCCAGTAATAACCACATGCTCAAACATTTTAGTTTGTTGTTCACACTCATGTCTAAAATTCTTACCCACTGAGCAGCTTGTAAATTAAAGCAGTGTGTCAGCTGGACGTGACTGACTATATGCTGTGCTTCATCTTTTTCGTGCGTCTCGTGGTTAGACACGTCACACACATACTGCATGCATGTTTTTTATATACTCCACAGGAAAGTTAATGGCTTCCATTCACCTTCTTTTTTCAAATTCCTAACAATCTGCCCTTGAGAGCTGTTATTGGTATGAAGTATGCAGATGTGTGTGCATGCATTTTTTTTTAACTTCTGCAAAGGTTGAATGCCTGATTTCCATTAAGTGTTAATTTCCCATGGGCAGCGTCTTTGATGCAGCTGCCAGTCTAAGCAGGTGATGCACCTCCTCACCTCCGTCTCAGCTCTCTCAGGCTAATGAGTTGCTGCTGAGCCGATGCCAGCTTTCTGCACGGCCAGTGAAAGAGACATTCCTCATGGTTGGGCGCTGGGCGCGGCGCTCTGTGGTCAGCCGCAATTTGTCTCGGCCGGAGAGTCTTATGGCACTGAAGGCCTGGTATTCTTCAATATGTCCTCACGCTTCTCGCACACAATGTTTTATGTAGTGCTCTGTATATAATGATGCATCTCTGGTATTGGGTTGTGTGCGTGAGTTGTATCCTTGTGGGAAACACTTTGTGCATTTTTGCAGTCTGAGGTAATTTCGGCCTTTCTTTACTTCTTCAAGAGGATATAGTTTTGGGTTAAGATTTACTGTTGGCATGAGGGAATAGGCAGTGTCAGACCCTATTTGTTTGTGTGTGTGTGTGTGTGTGTGTTTGTGGAAATGTTCTGGTCCTCACTTTTCAAAGGCTTGTTTAAGGGGTAAGACTTGCTTTTAAGGTTAGGAGTTAGGATTATATTTAAGTAAGAGTTAGGATTAGGCAGGTAGTTGTGAGGTTAAGGTTAGGGGCAGACTAATACATTATGCCAATGAGTTCCCTCACTAAGATAGAAGTACAAGATTGTGTGCGTGTGTGCTTTGTTGCTAAAGAGAGCATTTCTAAACAGTAATGATTGTGTGAGGTCTGGTTGTGCACAACACCAAACACGCTGCGGGTGCCTGATGACTGATTTCTCACTATTTCGGTGCAGAGCA